AATATTGAAGAGAATTTCATGAGGCAGGACACAGAACCCACTTCATATTTACAAGTCACTGGCCTTCATGCCAACTGGTATAAACCCAGGCAGTCAAATCCTGCCCTGGCTTAAGGCGTCTGCTCTGATCCAAAGTGGCCACAGAATTATGGTCTCCTTCCAGTTTTCCAAGGATCCACGAAGAAATGAAATCTCTTCTGGCTTATATGTGGGTTAAAATGGAAGCTGAGCTAGTCTAGAACAGAATTTGTTCTCTTATTTGAGACTCACTAGGTTCATTCCGGGGTGAGTGTGAGTCTTGTGTGGCATCTAATTTCACCTTCCCTCACATGCTACATGTTTTCTGAGGAGCTGTTTGTGCTCTGTCAGCCTAAAGATGCCTTCATTTCAATCTTCTCTTTGAGCGAGCGAGTGAGTGAGTGAGTGAGAAAGGGGAGGTGGTGGTGGTGGAGGGGGGAGTTTCAAAGCAGAGAAAACAAGGAGAGGAGGAAATGGCCAGTGTTCACTGAACCCACACGTGTGAAAGGCTAATCCAGAAATCACTCAGAATCACCAGACCCTGCTGACATCGCTCGCTACGCACACACTCACCTTCCCCACCTCCCGCAAAGCCTCACTTCCTGAGCCAAAGTGACCTTCTGAAACCTGGCCACTCAACCTCAGCCCTTGGCCCCGTGCCCCTTCTCTGCAACAGCCTCTACACACCATTAGCTTCCTTCCAAAGTCCCCATCTAGCTCTTACCCAGAGCAATATGCTTTTCCTGTTTTCAAGAGAAGGGTATGGGCCAAGTAACTAGTAAACAAAGGCTGGGCAGAGGCTGTTAGAGGCTCCAAGGCATTTACGTACATACTGGATGGAGAGTTCGAAAGGAGGCTGAGGTTTCAGGGGCTCTGACCTGGAAGGCAGAACAAGGCTTGGAACACGGCTGCACTCAGTGTTCAGAACAGCACTCATGGGGTGGTCATGCTCAAAGGAACAGAGCGTTGAAAGAGTGATTATGTGTTAAGATAGTTTGGCTGTCAACCAAATAACATGTTGCTGCCTACTGCCAAGCCAGGCACTTCTGCTGATTGGTGAATTTTTAAGAATGATGACAATAAATAAAGTGGTTTAAAGGCAAAACATCATTTCCTAGATGGGTTTCTTGTCCAAGGGATGGGAATTGGGTTAGGAGGACTTTAGCTTGGCTTCCGATGGGTCCCAGAATGTTCCTCTAGAGAAGGTGGGCTTCTGTCCATACTCCTCCCAGAGCATCCATTTACCATCAGTCCCATGCTATCTATATGAACTTTGGTGAATCATCACTCTCTGTCTCTTGTAGTTTCTCCACCTTTAAATGGAGTTGATATTATTGGCCCCTTACTCTCACACTCAGTGCTGGGTAAGTGATGAGATGAATGAGAACAGGAAAGTTGGCCTGGAGTGAAGAAGATAGGGCAGAACAGAAGGAAGCCCAGGCAAAAGCCTGAAGGCCTCCTGAAACTGACTCTAGGGTGATTTTTGGTGTTTGACTGGCTCTTTATTGGACTCTTTCCCCCATCCCCCAGCCCCGAGGATCTGGCCTGCTCTTCTGCTTGTGTTTCTGTCCCTTCGAGACTGATGAAGACCAGGGCTTTTTCTCTCAATGCTGTGCTCTTCCATGATCACTGAAGCAAGCACACATCTACTTTCATTTTCTACTTTCCAAAAAGTCTTTTCACTGCTAGTGGTTGTGGGGAATGTGGGCATACCACCACACAAATATCAGGGAAACCACAAGTAATAAAAGTATTTTTAAAACTAGAGGTCAACTGGCTTTAGTTACCCTTGGTCACTGGGGACTGACACTCACACAGCAGCAATGCATATGGTTCAGAATGGAAGCTGAGTCACAGTAAAAAAAAAACAAAAAACAATTATTTAATCATTTATATAGTTTTATGAAAACAAACACAAACATGCAAAAATAACTGTAACATAAATCCTTCACAGGTATGTCTCAATGGTCATGGAGACACGTGGTTCCCAGCAATATGTCCTATTTCTGTATCGATTCTTTCCTCTTCCTCAACTACTCTCTTCATATCCTACAGATTCTTCTATACTTTCTCCTCGATGCCCCACCTCATTCAAGATAAACGTCAAATATTCTGAGCCCCGGGATCTTATGTAAAGTCACTACTCCCTTCCATTCTCCTGCCAGCTCTTGGATTATACTCTTTCCTACCCAATTTCTCACCAAAACAAACAAGCAAAAAACCACCACCAACAAAAACACCGCTCTGGAGCCACAGGATCCTCCTTAAAGGACATGGAGGTGAAGAACCTGTCTGACAAACTACAAGGCATTGTTTATCCTTTATTGGAACTGGAGGAGGGGAAATACAGAGACTGACCTGCTCAAATATTTGTGTGATCACAGGAACTAGACCTGACTTGTCCTAATGCCCAGTCTGATCACACCCGCCCTCAGTTTTGGTCTAAAACAAACCCAACCCTCTGAGTGGGCAGTTCTCATAGGGAGTGCTGTCCCTCCTTCATTTAATACTTAATAGCATCTCCAGGGCGCTACCATTTTCCTGTTCTTGGGACCCAACTCCTAGGGCAGATGTTATAGTTGGGAATCCTGAGTCTTTCCCAGCTTTTCAGAATTACAACAGTAATAATAAAAATGATGGTGAGGATGATGGCAGCTAACTTAGGGCATTTTCCATGTGCCGGGTAATGTGTAAACATCTCACACTTTGTCTCTTCTGGTTTCCAAGTCCTAAAGAACTGTATTAGTTATCTATTGCTGTCTAACAAGTTGCCACAAAACTTGGCAGCTTAAAAGCAACACACACTTATCTTCTCACCATTTCTGTGTATTAGGAATCTGGGCATGACTTAGCTGAGTTCTTGGCCTCAAGGTCTCCCGATCGAGGTGTTGCTTAGGTTATAGTCGACCTCCAGGCTCACCTGGGCCAGGGTTTGATTCCAAAATCACATGGTCATTGTCAGGATGCAGCTCCTCACTGGCTCATGGACTAGGGGCCTCAGATCTCCACCGGCTGTTGGGCAGAAGCTTCCCTCAGTTCCTTGTCTCATGGGCCTCTTCAGTATGGCAGCTTCCTTCCTCAGAGGGTGCAAGCTAGCAAGACAGCGAGATAGTGCTAGCAAGGCAGAAGTCACAGTCTTTTGTAACCTATTCATGGAAGTGACATCCACCACCTTTGCCATTTTCTGTTGGTTAGAATCAAGTCACTATGTCCAGCCCACACTCAAAGGATATGGATCACTGGGGGTCATCTTAGAAATCTGCCGACCTCAAGACCAATTGGGGAAGGAGGGAGAAAGAATTATTTTTAAGATTTTTAAGGATAATATCAAGACTAGAAGATAAAAGTAGTTCAGGGTAAGGACTGAAGCTAATAAAGGTAGAAGTTAGGAGGTAGAATGGGGACGTACCTTATAGCATTTTTTGGTCCTGTGTTTCTCTCTCTCCTAGCTTATAATATGAAGGCAGAGCTAAGGAGATGAAGCTCAATGTTTTATATGTATTTATTGTGCAAAGAACTGCTTTTTCCACTGTGAAAGTAAATGGGAAAGAATGGTAATGGAATAGTGGGGTAGAGGAAGAGCAAAGAGGAGCTGAAGGTAATCTCTCCGGACAGAAGTGACCCAGGCAGCCTCTGGGTAGCAGGCTTTTGACAGGGACATGCATCCAATAAAAAAAGAAAGAATTAGGACACTAACCAGATCTAGAATAAGGTGTCTGCAACTAAAAGATAGTCAAGTGGGGAGAAACAAATTCTGGACAAAAAAGAGAAGGCTGGCTCTAGAAAGATTCTTTGAGGCAACGTTACATAGAGCAGTGGTGTGGGGGAGAGGACAGGGAACATTTTTTAGCAGCATCTACCAAAACAAATTTTATTTAATATATATTTTATGAGAGGAAGAAGGTTGCAGGACTTTAAAGAGCTTTTAATATATTAGTATGCTCTGTGAGACCCCACGATGTGTGTGAGGGAAGGTGCGGATTGAATAGACAGTGCTTCTCACAAGTTTTTATTTGTTTTGTATGGAGATGGTAATATGCTACACACTTTCGGGAATGCTCTTTTATCAAATGCCTGTGGCCTTTTTGGGGGAAGCAGGAAGGGTGGGATCTGGTTCAAACATTTCTAGTATGTCAAGAATGGTGGCCAGTGGTTGAGTAATAAGCAAAATATTTTTATTGAACACCTATGTGATAAGCAGAAATGACCCTAGGATCTCAACATTTGGACACCAACAATGGGAAAGATACAAAACCAGAATCTGAGCAGAAGTCACCATATCATCACCTTTTACAACTATCCCCAGCAATGCCCTCAAATTCCCAAAGCTCTGTTTATTACAACTCTCCTCTCCAGCACTCTCTTTCTCCCTCCTGCTGATGTTCATCCTTCTTGTCAATAGAGAAGGAATCGGGTAGTTCACCCCATGGGCTTTTCTCTTGGGATTTTTTCAGTATAATAGTGTGAAGGTAATAAAGGGAGATTCATTGAGAGAGGCATGACAAATATCTTAAGAGCCTTTTTAAAAATGTCTTTTTAGTACAGAGAAAGAAAGAAGAAATCAGGGAAGGACTTTCTGCCAAACCACGAACAAGATAGTTCATCAAGAAATGCTAATTTCTCCAGCATTCGTGGGGAATTACCCACTGTGGGGATTAAGACACCCGTGCTCTTTTAATCAAAGGATGGGAGACCTCCCCTCAAATAACTGGGAGTCCTATCCTGCTCAGAACAAGACAGCTCTGAGAAGCCACTCCTTTCTCTAGTACACAATGCTGTGTTTTTAAGTTAATTCTCCAACAATATTATAGTTACTTTCAATGGTTAATGAATAGCTTCTAAGTGCCTGCTTCATTTAATTGTCCAAAGGCCAATTGGTACAGAGCGTATAAAGCTATGAGCTGGCTAATGAGAGCATTCTCTCTGAGCAAGGGAAGCAGGGGAGTGGCAGGGTCAGGGAGCCGGGTTCCAAAGGCGCAGGGATGCGGATCAGAGCTGGAGCAGTGCTCTGTGCCCTTGCCCTCCTCACGGGCTTCCTGACCATCTGCCTGGGGGCCTTCTTCATCTCCTCAGGCTCCACCTTCAACTGTTGGTGGAGCCTGATCCTGGCCTATTTTCTTCTGCCTCTGGGGTTTGTGATCCTTCTGAGTGGAATTTGCTGGAGCACCTACCACCAGGCGAGTGAAAACAAAGGGATGTTCAGCCATGTGCTCAGACTACACCTTGCTCATGGTGCTGTGGCCCTGGCCACAGTGGACAGGTATGTGCCGAGAAGCCAGCCCTGTGCTGAGGGCTGAGATGGGGCTGAGTTCGGAGAAAGCGGACTTCTAATTCCACTTTGGTGCTTACATGTTTCGTGGGGCTATATGTCTAGAACCGAGGCTTTATCATCTGGGAATTACTCTGGGGTTAGTTATTAGGAATAACGGTGCTGCCTCTGGGGAAAACCATGAAGTCAAGGAAATTTGTCTCAGAGATACCCCCACACACGCATTGAACACCCACCTAAGCCAATTGAAGAGGCCCAACTCTAAGGTTCTTTTGCTGCATCATGGCAGCGGTCCCTAGAGGCTGGTGGTTAGTCATTCTTCCTAACCTGGCTTCCAGGTTATAAGGAAAGCAAATCCAGAACCTAATTCTGCCACACAGCAAAGGAGCAAGCAGGCATAAAATCAGTCCTGCAACTTCGTTATGAACTCAGTGAAGTCCCAGCTTCATATCCTCTTAGGTATTGTGATCATACTTTTATGAAAGATTCATTTGAGGCACAGCAATAATATTCCAGAGGTAAGATTCAGTTAACCTTGCCACATTGTACCCATTAGGATGGCTATTGTAAACACACACACACACACACACAGACGCACGCACGCACACACAGAACAAGTGTGAGCAAGGGTGTTGGGAAATTGGAAACCTGGCACTGCTGGTAGGAATGCGAAGTGGTGCCGCCACTGTGGGAAATGATATGGAGGTTCCTCAAAACATTAAACACAGAATCACTATTTGACCCAGCAATTCCACCTCTGGGTATATAGACAAAGGAATTGAAAGCAGGGGCTTGAACAGATTATTAGTACACCAATATTCTTAGCAGCATTCTCCACACTAGCCAAAAGGGAGAAACAACCTAGTCCATCAGTGAGTGAATGGATAGACAAAATGTGGTGTGCACACACAATGGGTATATTTCAGTTAAGCTCATGGTTAGTACCAGACAAGCAAAAACCTCCTAATTCTTGGCTGAACACAGGACCATTTAGGGATAAAACATCAGGCCTCATCCTTAAGGTACAGGCTTTAAGACTCCATAGATTCTTTTACCCTCTTCATCTAAAATACTTTAATGACTCCATGTATTTTACATAAAAGTAATTTTACTCATGACTTCATTTTTGACATTATTATGCTAATTGATACTAATTATAATAACCACAACCCATTTCCAATGTTTATTATGCTGACCAGCAAAGACTCTGGATTTGATAAAAAATTAAGACAGCTGAGGTGATTGTAGAAGATGCTTCTAGAGAGCTGATTTGATTTTGCATAAATGTTAGAAAATTGCCTCCGGGGTTTGAATTCCTGACAAGAGTAACTGATTGCCTTTGAGTGTAGCTTAAATTTACCAATGCATGCATCACATCACGCTGTTTGTGCAGAAATGCTTTAAAGGAAGTTATGGACCTCATGACGCCCCGTTCGCTGTCTCTCGCCGCTGCATCCCGTAGGTGCCCAGACCACTCGAATGGCCAGCAAGTCGGCCAATGGGAAGTCACATTTCTCAGGAGCGTTTGCATTCAACATGGTGCCCAGGTTGAGGGATTAAAGCAAATGCGTTTGCAGTGGTGGCATTCAGGGCACTGGGCCTAAGAACTGCTGGAGGGAGGGGTTGGGAGAGGGGAATGGGATTGGGGGGCAGGCAGCAGTCATCCTGGAGCCTCTTAAATCACTTGAGGGGACAGCTCACCTTACTGTCTCCAATGTCTTTGCACATGTGCCCATGACACAGCCTTGGCTATTCCGAGTGAAGGCTGAGATGTGGGCTGTACAGTAGACAGCGGCTTCAGCCATTTGGCTTTGGGCCTGGTCACATTTGGAAGAGAGCTGTGGCTAAAGTGGCAATCCCTGCTCTGTTGTGGTTACACATCACAAACACTCCCTGCAGGCACTGGAAGAATTCACTCTATAAATACACAGCCGAACCAAGCTCACCCTCTCTCTTCCTCACCTCCTTGCTACCCCCAGTCCCATTCATGATGGAGAAGCCGGAAGGATTCAGCAATTAGCAAACTGGGCAAGGTCACCAGCTCTGGCATGAATGGCTCTGTTAGCCTCTGGCCTGATGATATGGAAAAAGCTGCAACCGGAATCTACATAAAGTTCTCAGTTGAAATAGTTTGGAAAATGAGGGGTTTTTGTGTGTTTTTTTGTTTTTAACTAGCTGCTGACACTTTAAAGTGATGGGAAAGAGAGAAGCATCTGACAGAGCTCAATGGCTATGAGGACGTGAGACAGTGAGTGCAATTGAGTAGAAGATGCTGTGTGTGAATGGGGACGCGGATGTGGCTGGACTGGATAATTGGGTAGCGAAGTTCCATAGTCAAGGCTCCCATGTCCCCTACCCATGCTAAGGATCTCACACTGAAAGTCCCTGGTTCCAATGAGTAAGAGAGAGGGGGAAGCTGGGAATAACCCACTGGGAAAAGTATGCCTATCGAGACCCACATCTTATGGCTGATAAGGAGGGCTCTGCTGGAAGAGCAACACATTTGTAAAAACCCAGTGATGCCAAGGAAGAAATACACCAGTTTCAAGTCAATGCTTCATAACAGTTTAACTTCGTACAACGTGATCTGAGAGTGGCAGACATATGCTTCTCTGGCCTGAACCACTTAAATAACATGTGCATATTTGTGGCATTGTGTCCCCCAGGCCAGATTTTCACCCTCCTGCTTATGAAGAAAGTCTGGATGCTGAAAAGCAAACCTGCCCTGCGGACAGAGAGGCCTTGGATGTCCCTCCACCTCTGTACACAGAGATGGACCTCGGATGTGAGGATGAAAATAGTGCTCACCGAGAGGCACCCCCATCCTATGAGGAGTCGGTAGTGGACAGGGTGGCAGCAGCAGCGCCATCGCAGGAGGCCCAGAGGCGAAGCCAAGAGTGCTGAGGCAGGGGAGCTCTCGGTGCAGGACGCCCCCTCACGGAACACAGCTGCTAAAATTAAAAGCAGGCAAGGGACTGTGGGAGGAAAAGCTAAGTCAGTGATCCTGGGCAAGAGCTCCCCGAGAGGATCTTGAGTCTCTAAGAAATCTTGTCAGCTTTATTATATTTTGTTTTACCACAAGAGGACAAGTCGGATGGCTGGCCTGATGCTTTAGAGCTTGGACAAGATTCTTCATCTCTCTGGGCCTCAGTTTCCTCCTCTATTGCATGAAGAATTTATGCTGGGATTAATATCTAACAATTATGGAATGCTTTTTATATGGCAGGCTCTGTGCTATGAACTTTCTGTGCTTTTTATTTAGTCTTCATGATAACCTTCAGAGATGGGTGCAGTGGTTATCCCCATTTTACAGATGCATAAACTGAGGCTATGAGAAGTTAAGAAACTTTTCCGGTAACATACAGTTATTTCCAGGGGGATGAAGGAGGGTCCATAGAGGGGCATGGGGGATGTATTACTTCCAACTTTTGTGCTAGGTTAACCTTGTCTTGCTTCCCTCCTCACAGGGAGCAGTTTGGACTTCTCTCCCTGTTCAGGAAGTGGCCCTAACGGGAAGTGGAGCCCCAGGGTTATTGCAACACATTAAAGCCCTTGGAAAGGCAGCAGAGGTTGCTTTAGGTTCAGCTGCTGGATTCTCTTTTAAAATGTAAATAAGGCCTCCAGGTTTTCTGCCCAGGAGCTTGACCCTCACCTCTTGGTATAGTTTCCTTTCATCTCATCCCTATAATGATAATGAAAGATGATTCCTAGTGGTAACAGGCAGCTGCTGGTGAATGGGCACCAGAGGGGCTTTGGACAGTGATGGGAAGGATGAGATCCTTCAAGGAGGAAGAGGTCATCACGATGGGATGGGGCCCCCTTGGCCTTCTCTCCGTGATTGCTGACTGCACAGATGAAGCATGTCCTGAAAAATACATGGGAAGCCACATAAAAGGAAATCCTGGTCCCTTTAAACGAAGCATGAATTTGGGCATCTGCAATTTCAATTCTTGACAGCAAGGGGATAACTAGATATGCAGGTCGTCAAATAGGAAGGTGATAATTTATTAGCAGAGCAATTTATTATTCCTCTCTTCTCTCTTTCTATCCCTCTACTGAGATGGGATCCTGAAATTTTCTCTGGGGCCTGAGCACATTCACTGGCCTGAACAAGCTCTATCACTGGGCTTTCATCCAGTTTGCACTTGTAATAGATGGTTTTTCCAACTACTGGTAGTCATGTGAAACAAATGTTAATTTTGGTTTACATAATAATATTGTTTTAATCTCTTTACTGTAATAAATTTTGTACTTAAACTTTCCCTTTTCTGCCACTGTTTTGTATCAGAAAAAAATATCAATAGAGGAATGTAAGTCAAAGTTTGATTCTCTACGTGGAAAGAACACAGCATCCAAATAGGTTAATCTCTTTGCAAAACCAAACATTACTGAAGAAAAACTGTTGATTCAGAAAATTAGCCAGGTGCCTTTTGAAAAGAAATACTACTAACAGGCATTTATTGCCTTTAAAAAAACACACATACGTACTCAGAAGCAAGCACCAAGTATTACCCAAAACAAGGCTACTTTTGAAAGGCCCAGCAATTAAAACCCACTGGGCAAGTCAGACATAAGTGTCCTGTGTGGTTAATAATAATTCACTGGCCACCCTGGAGGATTCACTCAGGGGAAGTAGACATTGTGTCCCCTCTTCCTCCGTAAGCTTGTGATAAAACTAATGGTGATGGATTGAGGACCTGATCCCGTGAATGACAGGGAGGGCGCTGAGACTGTGAGAAAGTGGACAAGAGGCGAACCTCCAAAGGGAGCGTCTTAGCTTGTTCCCTCTTCTCAGATGTGAATGGGAGGCTCATGTGTTACTGGGGGAGGGAAATATTCAGAGGTGACGGCTGTCCAGCATTTTAATCTTATAACGTCTCTCTGAATAGCAAGTTTAAGTACCCACCCCCCAGAAGGAGAGCATGATAAGGTCAGTTATTGAATAGTGTACGCTGCATCTTTTGCATATCTGAGATGGAGTGTGGGTATTTTTAAACCCTCCTCTCAAAAACTCTCAAGTCCTTTTACTGACGGTCCTATCCATCCTTCAGGATTATACCTACACACAGTGTTTGGTGACGTCTCTCTCCAGCTCACTTATATTGCAGGGCACATAATGTGCTAAAAGACATGGAAATACGGTAAAGACATGGGCTTATAATGAAACACATATCTTCAGTGATTCTATAATGTCCCATGACAACATGGCCTGATTCACATACCAAGGAGGCTGTCAGTTGCACGAGCCGTGCCCACTGATAAGGATTCCAGCTGGTTGGAGTGGAGCAGGCATTCTGCTAAGCTCTGCCGCCTCGGATAATCTCTTGCCGTTTGTAGCTGTTGAAGGGCCAAAGACTGATTTACTGGCAGTTATGTCGTTTCCAAAGGCGCAAGATTTCTCAGACCCTTCTCCACGCAAGAATGGAAATGTCCTGAAGGCAGGTGGCTGGGATATCAGTGTCCATGTGTTTTGACAATACCCAGTGCATGACCGAGCAATAGAACAGTCATCTGTTATGTTACTATTAGTTCCCCCGGGTGCTTTTCAAATTCCCCAGACCTGCCACAGCTGATGGATATTGCAGCCAAAGTGAGTCCATGCCTTACACCGACCCACGGCTGGCCAATGGGAAGTCCCCACACCATCATCCCTGTCCCTGTCGCTGTCTGCAGAGAACACTGGCTCAGTGCGGCCTGCTGTCAGCCCAGTGTGCCACCATGGGACTGGTCGTCAGTCTGAGCTTCCTGTGCAGAAAGCCTTCATGTCATGTCCAAGCCTCTCAGCCTACAATGCCATGCAGCACTATTTGTCCCATGAATGCTGTAGATGGAGGCTGCGCTTCGGATCAGTCAGATTTGATAAATGATCTCATATTAACAATGGCTGAACTACCCATTTTCAAGGTCAGCTAATAAACTCAAGAATCATGGATGGAGCAAAACAGCTTTTTGTTCTAGGGGACTGACTGACACCTGGCAGGATGTTTAGCATTCTTGGTCCCCTCCCATTAAATGCCTCCCTGGCACATGTACACACATTTCCAAACACCCTCTGTGTGGGTAGTGACACTGGCCTGGCTGGGAACCACAGTGTTGTATGGATTGTATATATTGGTGTACGTGTTGTATGTATTATTATACGTATTGTTGCTGTCACTGCTCTGGAGGCACATGGTGCCATGGGTGGACTCCTCAGTNTATTGTATATATTGGTGTACATGTTGTATGTATTATTATATGTATTGTTGCTGTCACTGCTCTGGAGGCACATGGTGCCATAGGTGGACTCCTCAGTATTAGCTGATTACAAGATTGGCCCTGACATTTGCCACACTCTATCTGTAGTCTCTGCTATGACTGTCTCCGTGGTCCCCACAAATGTCTTGGACTTCTCCAATCATTTACTCTTAAGAAAAGCTGAGGCCTGGAGCTCCACCTTTAACAGCATAGTGAACATTATGTGCAGAGGAGTGAACCTCCTGTCTTTCACTCTCCGAGGATGAGGCAAGAGGACATGTATGTTTAGCTCAGAAAGGGAAGCTTAGGTTTTATGTCAAGCAGACAGAATGCCTTGGCAATGTGAATGTGAGCAGGTTCCCGAGAGAGGCTATGTCCTAAGGTCACCGCAGGACCTTCCCTTTGGCAAACTAGCTGAGAAGAAACTCTGTAAAAATAGGTGGCTGCACAGCTGCTTCTCTCCATAGCTGGGCCCAAGCATGTGCTCTGCCTGATATTTATGATGCTGTGTCAGCTTCAGCCCCACTCATCCAAGCAGCCTCAAGACCCAAGGCAAGCGCCCCTCTCCAGCCCTCCTACCTCTCAACCCCTAATCCTTGTTCTTGGATACAGTTTTCCCTGGTGAAATTATATAAATGATCAAGTGCCTAGTGTCCTGCCATCTCTGAGTCAATCTCTCTATGAATTTCCATAGTACGTTGCTTGTGCCTCTACTATAACATTCATGTCTACCTGATTCTTTGTGTATTTTTGTTACAGCCTCTTGTTCCCAAATTATAAACTCATAGGAGCAGGAATAACATTTTCTACATCTCCTTGCTGCACCAAAACCAGGATTCCGCATAGAGTTGTTCACCAGTGTTTGCTGAGTGAATGAATATACATTTGGGCTCCTGGACACACACGACTCCATACAGAAATAAAGAAGTAGACATTTTAAATGAGATTTAATTCGCATTTGAACATTGAAAGTTAGAAAAGATTAAAAGTTCAGCAATTTGAGGAAAACTAAATATTTTCTTACCTGCAGCCAAGCCTAAGAAGGTATCTAATTGTGCTGACCAAAATGAAGTCGGGTAGTGAATGAAGGCCATCATGGGCCTCTACTGTAAGGACGGTGAGAACCAAAGCTATAAGGCAAATTGTATTCCATTGCTGATGAATTTCATAGCTAGTTCTTTAGAATCTTAGCTCAAAGCCACCCTCCTATTATTCTGAAGTGAAGATATTTACAGTGAAAACTAAATGCCATTTCAGTGTCTGCTGACTCCCAGAGGCAGTTTTGAGCAATTTGTCTTTTCTGTCCCATGTATTTAATAAATTCCCAAGGTCCCGATAATGAAAACCAGCCCTTGCTAGTGTTCTGAGAGGCATACTTACCAGAAGAGTGACCACTACAGCAGATTCTCAAATGGCAAAACAAACAAATAAGCAAAATTCCACAATCTCTGCATAAGGTTGAAATAAAGAATTTCTGTTTTATTGGATACTAAATGTCCTAACAAGTTTCTGACAGAGGCATAGATAGAAAATGGAAACAAACACCTTATTGGGAATGTTTCCCTGCTTGCACTAATCCTAACTACAGCAATAACAAACTGCTTAACAGTCAAAGCACACCACGTCATCTGTGCAAATGACACAATAAGTGAGAGCGCCGTTCCCAAGGAAGCAAAACATATGCAAACAGGTCCCGTGCACCTAGTGTCCTGGCTGAGTCAGGCAAGGGCTGCTGGAGCTGCAAGATCCTTTTCCTGGGCACAGACAGCCAGTTGTGACCCTCTGCTTTCCAGCAGGGGTCTCCGCTCTGCCCTCCATCTCACCAGGCCCATAACTGTACCACCAGGAAGGTTTTCTTCCAGAGTCCACTTCATTCCCTACTTCTACGGCATTTCATTGTCTCCTTTTACAGCCATCATAAGTAAAAGCTGAACTGTGTCCAAACGGGTGCATTAAAATAGGCTCTTATTGGGAGATAAGAGAGCAGAGAGAACATCAGAGATAGCAGACGTGGTGATATTTTGTCTTCCCAGGAGAAATGAGTATAAACTCATGTACCACTCTAGGTGATGCAATCAAGGAAGGGCCCAAAGAATGTTAAACATTCATTTGCAGAGTCTTGCCAAGAAACTATTTCCCACCTGCATCATGAACAGCTGAATTTGAAGGAATGCAGCCAGCTTAATAGCTAAAATAATATCTACAAAGTAAGAGAGAACACCCTTTGATATGTTTGGTTGAATGTGTGCCATTGTGATGTGTAGGAAGTTTTAGGAGATGTGAGAGAAGGTGGCAGGGGGACTTTGGAAATGGGAAGGTGGAAAAGAGGGCCATCAGCTGGTTCAGATGTTGTGACTAACAGTTTCCCAGCCCACTTTTTCTTTCTTAAAAGGGGAGGTTCCTTTGTGTGATAAAATATCAAGAACAAATGATAGTACAGTTTTAACAGGCAACTGAAGACCTTATTGCATTGGGAGGAACTGACCAAAATCTAAACAAAACATTTTTTTCATTTCCCACCCACCCCTCCATCCCCTACCAACAAATTATCTTTTGTTTTGTTTTTCCAAAGTCATAAGAGGCACAAACAGGTAGCAAGAAGGCGTGGGTGACGTGTCTCCCGCTGAGCGCTCTCCTTCGGGCCTGGTAAGTGATTGTGCCTTCCTTCAGGTTATGACAGTGGGACCCCTCCGGCCGGTTCTCTCATGAATCTGGGATATTTTCAGCGCGATGGCTATGAGAGGGCTCAGCACCGCCTGGAGAAAGAGGAAGAAAGTCTGTGAACAACTCCAGTCAGTCACAAGAAGGCCACTGTGATGGGCTTTGATCGCAAACATCTAGATCGATGCTGATGGCAGTGCCAGCATGGGCAGGGCACCTGCTCTCTGGGCCTTGCTTCCCTTTTCCATACAAGGAGGGTGGAGTGTGCAGGGTGAGGGGAGGAGGGGGCGAAGATGAGCCTCCAAAGTCTTATCCAGCTCCCAGACACTGATCTAAGATAGGGAACTGCACAACCCAACTACCGGAGCTTTGGAGCGTTCCATGAACAGAGCTTTGTGAATTAGGGGAGTTCAGAAAACCCCAGGCTTCCTCTGCTGTCCTCGCTCGCCCACATGAACGCCCTCCTCCCCCCCACACATGAACTTGAGGAAAAACACTACTTCTCCATCCATCCTAAGACCACGGGCCTCAAGAACCTGCTATCTTGAGATGTCAAAGAAGACGGGCCAATCCATTGGCTAGTGCTGCAGAAATAACTGCTCATTTCTCCCATCAAATAACACAGTGGCCCGTGAGGCTCCTCAGTGCCCCTAGAAGGAGGTGGGCTGGTGTAGTGGCCTAAGGAATAGATTCTTGGAATGACGAAGGACATGATGAGGAATCAGAATCATTTCTCGCCCATTAGCTGCTTCTCATTTCACAGGAACAAGGCGTTGTTTTCCAGAGAGGGAGCATATACCACCCAGGGTGGTTTTAGCTGGTACAGGAGACTATTCCAGGTGGTGCGTGGACATGGTGTGACTTACAAAACAATGAGAAAGTCATTCTATTTTCCATTCATCTTCAACCCTCCTAATTTTATCAAGGAGAAACTTTGCAACCAATATTTTTAATTTTTATTAAAATACAAATGCGCATTTTTTCATAATTTTTTGTTTGTTTAAAATATTACAGATGTCCCCTTTTCTCCCCAGTGACCCATTCCACCCTGTTCCATCCCCCTTCCAGTCCCTCTCCACACCACTGTCTGTGTCCTTGGGTTATGCATATATGCTGCCAATCTTTAACACTTTAAGGCAGGGCATGCCTCAGGCAAGAATTACCTACGAAGGAGGTGATATCATTGTATGTTTTTACTGAATTCATTTTTAAGGTGCCCTTTTATTTAACAAGGGGTGACGTGCTTGTCCTTGTAGAGCATGGCTATAAACTTTCTGTAGTAAATAGATTTAAGTGAAAACAAAGGGAGTCCCTTTAAAGACAAATACTAAGTAGCCATACTGATAGAAAAGAAGCTTGGGAAATGCTGGCATAAAGGAAGAAAAAAGATACCATGTTGAGGAACTTGTAATTCTGGAGAGGGGGGTGAGATTCTGTCACTTGCAGCCCTCACGCATACCTAACAGATATCGGGAAGAAGGCAATGCATACATTCTCATCAGACAAGAGCACCCGCAAAGGCCCAGGGAACAAAAGGCCCAGTGTGTCCTGAGTGGAGTGTACACACGGCCAGTCCTGATGATAACTGAGCAAGCCTTGTTTGGGAGGACCTATAGGACAGAGTGAAGTTAAACAATTTAATTCATTAGGCAAGGGAAGATGGTGGGGTTTCTGGAAAGATTTCTCTAGCAGCAAATCCAGTGGTTAAACACATTTATGGCTAAGTGGATTAAATTATCTTACTCTATGAAGATGTCTAGATGGAAAAGCTCAGACACAACCCTGGACACCAGGAGGAAATGCAAATCTAGAGTCATTTCATAACCAAACAAGCCGGCAGTGATTCCCTCTGGTTCCACATCCATAAACTTGACATACATAGAGTGTTTCTTTTCCTTTTAACCCAACTGGTGCCCAGAAAAATCTCCTACTGGCACCTTTTTCCAGCATACAGTCCACATGATGCCCACGTAGGGGCAGCTGGATTCTCTAGGAGCCAAGTACCTACATTGTATAGAAATCAGATTGTTCGCTTTCACTCTTCTTCCTCCCCTGTCTTCTCCTCCCTCTTTCCTTCTCCCCCCTTCCTTTTTTTCTTGGCTGTATAACTCCTCATTAATACCTATAAAAGAAGTTAAATAAGGACAGAAAAAGGGAGTGATCACTAAAGTAAAACTGATCACTTTAACTGAGTTCCTGGAGAGCAAGTACAGATAAATTTAAAATATCCTATCAATTTAAGAAAACGCAGTGAAACTGAATTTGAAACTTCAAAATTAAGAAATTTAAATATATTTGTTTTGCATCCTTGTATGTTTCAAGATGAAGGATTTTCCACTCCATATGTTTAAGTGCTGGTACTATTGGCAAGAGCACAGTTGTAACTGACGCTGTAAATGCTGCAGGCCTTCTCTTTACCCATCTCCACTGAACTCTGCAGATGATCCTACATTTTCCATTTCTTTGTAAAACTTTGGATTGATGTCCACAGCACACTGATGTCTCTAACATGATCACCAACTTCTACTTCCAGCAGTCGAGTTATGAGCTTACTAGGAGTCAGTTAAGCCTGTTCCTAAATATCTTAATGCGTGTTTTGCTTGTTATTTAGACTATGCAATTATTAAGTTATATGAAAATCAGTGAAATGTAAGTATAAATAGGAAGAGGTTCTCTCTAGGAAAATTAAAGTGAATGTTTTGGAAAGAATTAGGTAATGGTGATTAGCTAATTCTGTCAAGTTAAATATATAAAATATTTGGGAGAAATAAAAAGAATGTAAAATATTATTTCCTCATATAGCTTCACAAATGTCATAAGTTCCCAGTGACCACAAAGAAATTAACGGTGAACATTACAGATGATGAATTATGAATGAAAATCTTTTAAAGAAAAATAATCACAACCAGTGTGCTTGTGTTCAAAGAAACAGTCTTGTACCAAAATTAAAAGATTGACAAATGAGCATACATTTAATATTTTATGCTAAAAATACAATGGGCAAGATATGTGTGCCTTTAATGACCTCTTAACTCTCTGGATTAGTGAACCAAGCACTTGCCCCTTGTTCTGATCATGTCAGAGGAGAAGGCTTCGCTGGTTACTATGCAAACCGAAGGGAAGAAAGCACGTTTTTGGAAAGTCACACCCTGAGCAAAAAGCCCTAGGCCAACCTGGCACAGAAGTTGTGGAGCCATATGCCCTCAGGGGACCATGAGGATTTGGGAAAAAGGACATTAGTGATGTTCACCACGGGATGAACACTGGTGAGATCCACTGAGCCATGTTCCAGGAACCCAGAAAGTCTAGATGTTTGTATGATCCTGAATAGTTCTGGAAGGGAGTCCCTAAAAACGCTCAAGATCAAATTTTTGCCAGGCTTGTGAAATGGGAGCTGCAAGTCATAATTAATTTATGGATCATAAAGTAAGATATTTTTTTCTTGCCTGAGTATACAGAGTAAATACAGGGGTGAACAAAAGTAGGTTTACAGTTGTGAGTGGCATTCTTTTGAGTTAACAAAGCTATTGTAATAATCATAACCGGCATGTCTTTTTTGCCCACATGTGATAGAATGGTTACACCATGAGCGCAGGAACTTTGTCTAATTTAGGGCTTAGAAAGTGTCCGCTACTTAGAAAGTATTCAGTAAATATTGATGGCATAAATGAGTGCTCTATCAGTTTGATGAATGAAAAATTATGCGGCAGATAGATTCTTCTATGGCCATTCATGAGGGGCACTCTGGGTGAGTGGAAGGGTTGGTAGTATCAGATTTTTACTGCTATGTTTTTCTTTAGAAGTCACAGCTTGGATACACGTGAGTCCCATATCATCAATCATGTATAACGGAAAAGAGAGAGGGGGAAATTAATTTCCCTGAGGCATCGGAAAGGGCCTCAGAATGGGGAGTAAGAAAAGGAGTTAAAAATGAGAAGCCTGCGGGTGTGAAATCTCGGGTGGAACTGGAAGCAAAGAGCCTGAGAAGCGCAGAGGAGCAGGGGACGGTCTCATCTGATTCTTTCTGGTCACAGACGAGGAAGCCCAGCCTGGAGAGGAGACACGATCGGGCCAGGGTGACACTGTGCTTGGCAGCGAGCTGGGGTAAGTACCCAGCGATGCCTCCTGCACTGCTCTTCCATTGCACAGTTCTGATTCCGAGGCCTGCGAGTGACAGAAAAACTGCAGGTGAATGAGCCTAAGGGGAGCGGAGGGGAGGGAGGGCCGGCAAGGCCATCACCCCGCTGCCCCAGACAAGTCCCACCCTAGGCGAGGGGTGCGACCAGCCATCCCCACGGACCGAGCGCGGAGGAGCGCGGGAAGAGGAGCATTCCAGTTACTGAATGCATAGGGCCTCCAAGATGATTCTCTGCGAAGGAAAGAAACTAATAGAGACTTCAATAAATTAGGAACAGGCCATTTCCCCCCCAATTCCAGTACTTCTCAGAATGCCTGACAATAGCTTTTCTACACTCAACTGCAGGAAATAGCGAGTGGTCATCCTGTAACAAACCAGGTCGGCAATAAGTCCTTTCAGCAGTACTCACACTGGGGCTCCAGGGCCAGGGTTGGGCGAACTTTGCTGTCATCTCGAGTTTATTAACTGCCAGGCTAAAGAGGGAATTGGAGCCTGTCTCTATTTAAAATTTTGATACTTTATCATGGATATTTTGCATTGATTTTGATTTTTAAAAGTAGTGTATTACAATATTGATTTCGGTTACTGCGTTTTTTGGCACCCCGACATTTTGCACCCTGCTCACCTCACCCTACTTGCAACCCTGTATTAGGCTTTAACCTCTTCATATCCCCTGGAAGGACAGAGAAAGTTTCTCCTTTCACTTTCTTTCCCCTCTTATCTCTTGCTTTATGTGGTTGTAGTTTTGATCCACGCTCATGTAAATTAGAACCACGAAAACAAGCCCCTACCAAACTGAACTTCTTACCCTGACCAGCAATAGACAGGAGAGGTGTAAATGTCCTGAATGTCACAAGACTCAAAGTAAATAGTTAACTGAATTTTTTTTTTTTTTTAAATTTGTGGAGAAAAACAAAACCCTAACCACAGACACAATCACCTATTAAGTAATATTTG